AAGCAAATTGAGTAATTCTGCGTAATTGTTAAAATATTTAAATTTTGTGATGACTCCAGGAATAATGCGGCTTAATTTCAAGCCAGTAATAATAATAAGAGTAATACTATTTAGATTTCATAAACTGATTGTTATAATTATTTCTCACCTCTAGTGTTTAGGATGGGCTATCAAGAGTTTCCTTGAGCTTATTGTTCTACTTATCAGTATATTCATTTTTTAATATTCAGTCATGGGATGTGGTCATCACTGATTAGACCATCAATCATAGCCTATCCCTAATTGCCCAGAGGGCAGTTAAGAGTCAATGACATTGTAATAGATATGGAGTCACATGTAGGCTGGATCAGGTAAGGACTCGAGTTTTCTTCCCTAAAGGGTATTAGTGAAGCAGTTGGATTTTCCAACAATCGTCAATGGTTTTATGGCCATAATTTGATTTTTAACTCCATATTTATTAAATTGATACTCCACCACTTGCATTGGCAGAGTTGAACCCAGAACCCCAGAATGTTAAAATGAAAAAACTGCGGATGCTGGAGATCTGAAACAAACCAAAGCAAAAATTGCTGGAGAAACCCAGCATGTGTAGAGAAAACAAGAATTAACATTTCAAGTCCTGTGACCCTTCTTCAGAATCTGAAGAATAGTCACAAGATTCAAAAAGTTAACTTTGTTTTCTCTTGACAGATGCTGCTGGACTGCTGAGATTCTCCAGCAATTTCTGTTTTCACTTGTTCCCAAGAATATTACCCAAATCTCTAGATTAATAGTCTAGCAATAATAACACTTTGCCATCACCTCCCAATATGCATTTACTCCGTGACTGAAGTAAGTTATCCCAATACTAATAGCATTATTATTATGTCATTTATTTTCAGTAAACTTAGTTGATACAATAATCAAGAAGTAATTACTTCTCACCATGTCTTAAACTGAACTTGCCTGGTTTAAGTTGTTACCATTTAAAGGGCTACGTTAGGTATTATTAGTAACCACTTATTAGTTTTCGAGGTTAACAAATATGGGGAAAATCAAAGAGGTGTACTTACACAAATTTAAAAATTATGAAATGGGTTATTACGAAAAGCCTCATCTACCTCAGAGTAACATCTGCAACTGGAGGATCAGCTTTTATATGCACACTGATGATACCCAGTTATTTCTTCACTTCCTTGGTAGTATTACAATAGGATGGAGTTTTGCATCAGGGTAGGAGACTGTTTTCTAGTCCTAAATGTCCAGGGCAATGGGCATTTTTGCAGTTGGCAATGATGATTTTGGCTGGAGACTCCTTAATTTGCATGAAGACAGTTGCCCTATCCAGTTGAAGATGAGAGGTAGGCTCTGGATCGCGAGAGTGGCAGAGGGTAGAAAATGAGAAGATACTTATTTCAGTGTATGAATGCCCACTGACAACTGTTTTCAATCTTAAATTCAAAATAGATTTCATGGAATGTGGGGACAAGAGGCTGCTGATGATCTCCTGCTTCCAGGCAGTTAAACTGTTACTCATTACATCAAAAAAAATCCCACTCAGACAAAAAGAAGCACTCAGCCTGCTCTGAGCCTTATTAATAAGGCTACCAATGAGATTAATTGGTTACCTGCCTTACTCTGGATAGGTGTCTGTGCAGGGCGTTTGTGGCTCAACCTACATTTTAGTCAGAAAGCAGGCATTCAAGTTCCACTTGCTCCAGAGATGTGTCATAACATGTTTGGTTTATTTCAAAAATATGTGGTATCTGCACAGGCCCTCCACCTGCCTCAGCAAAAATGGCCAGTGTCAGTAGCAGGGTCGGAAAATTAGCCACCGCATGCCCAATACATCCGGTATTTTCAGACCACATCTGCTTGTTGTCCACCTCTACAGGGTCTAAAACTCGAGCTCCATGTCTCTGCTGTGAAACTGCCTCACTGATAGGAAGTCACAGCTGAGTCAACACTGATCAAGGGTATAGCAGAGGTCACTGCAGGAAATAAAGCTGTAGTTGAGCTGGTGGTTACAGAAGGTGATTGATGGTGGCCCATCCAGGAGAGCATTGGAATAGTCAAGCCAGAAGTGCACCACGTGTCATATTTGTAATATCCAAATAAATAGCATAAACAAGGATTAAATTTTTGGTAGTAGTCTATAATTCTTAGTCTAATGACATTTAGAGGAGTCCACTTTAAATCTGTTACACACTGAGGCAGCCCATCTGTTGCTTTTAAATGAGGATGTACATTTTAAATGTATACTTACTTAAATATGGAGCCAGGAGGTGACAGAGTACTCCTCACAATTCCTTCGATCTTGATTTTTGATCTCAACTTTGATCATTTTTTTTGGTTAGTTGCCTCTTATTCCTTAAAATTCATTGGCTAAATTGAAAAGAGGTCTGAAGTCCAATTGCATTTATACCTTTGGCCTAGCTATTCAGGCATAGGGATTGCCCTGTGTTTCTCATTTGCCCAAAAGTGGGCATGTGTGAATTTCCTGAATGATGATGGCAGCACTAACTTTCTGCCCCTTATTCTCCCTCCATCCTGCCACCTAAATGGCTCAGACATTACAGAGTAATGTTGAAATGGGCACATCTGAGGAATTCTTACTCAGCCGTCCAGAATATTCAAACGTCACTATCCCCACAACTTGACATGTATCCGAATCAAAGTAAATGAGCGGACAGGTGTTACACTTTGTCACACTAATGGCAATAAGTGGGACTTCTTGAAATTCAAGAGTATAATGGATGGTATATTGTAGAGGCCTGAGCAACAAGGACTAAAGTGAGATGTGTAGCAAAATCAGGCAACAATTGTGGCAAGGCCCATCTTGATGTGGGGAGAAACTTGCATCATCTTTTATGCTTTTCACAAATGGCTTGCAGAGAGTCTTACTAGGCAGCTGTGAAATGCTAATTGATGGTGATTTTTCCTTGTTAAATGCCTTGCTAATGGCACAACTCACCTCATTAATATTCAGGATCCCTGATGTTTGGCACTTCCTCACCCATACAGACGTACTTTACCCTATTTGTTGGCTGTCTTCTGTTGTAATGGCTGAAAGGGAGGGAATGAGTGAGGTCTCAGTTGTTGACACGTCAGTTAATGATGGTGGATGTGCGAAATAGGTGTTCTGAAGAGCTGAGGAGGCAGTCTTCAGGGAGGGCATGCAGGGATAGTGGTATGTGAGGTTGGAGTAAACAAGAACAAGTGAAGGAAGGTGGTGTCTGCAATAGTAAGAGCATCAGAGCTTTGGTGGGAAATGGGTGGGGTGGCAGAGATAGAATGAATGTGATGTAACAAAGAGAAAAGTGTGGCACTTACTTTGGTGGACTAGAGAAGGCCATTGACCCTGTGGCACTACTGGCCATTCCTACACTCCCTGGAGGTGGCACTGACCCAGGTAGTGACCTCAGATCAAGCTGTTAGGGTGTCATAGCCTTCTCTGCCCAATCCTCCAGCAAGATGGCACCTCAGCTCTGGACTGTACCCTCAAACAATACCTTCATGCCCCTGTTGGAGAATGATGATGCCATTTTCCCCTTCCCTGCTATATTTGGACTCTGTCAGTGAGCAAGGCAGCTTCAGAATGCCAGTGCCAGTCCAGATGCACACTGGCCTTTTACAGATGGTGCAGGCGCACAGGATCCCAGTGTTTTGATGGATATTCACTGAATACCGTGTTGTTGTGGGAATGGCACCTGGTAAGGCGGATTGAAGTCAGATGTGAAATATGCCACAGGAGTGTGATAAGTAATTAATGAGGCAAGTTTGGTAAAATGCTACAAGAGAACTTGCTAGGTTTCATGGCATATTGCATATCTGACTAAGTCCTGTGTTTCTATATGCTTTTTAAATGCTTTCAAAGAAGTTGTAACAAATAACCAGACCAATACTTCCCCCTGCTGATCTAGTCAATTATTACATCACATATTGTATAGAACAGAAAGAAAGGAACCTGAATTCTATTCAGTTGTATGAAAGAGATTACAGTGGACATCAGTATCCCTAGATTAGTTAGGAAGAAAATTAAACCGGCATCCCTCTCTACACATTCATGTTTAATGATATATGTGGAAATGTTAATGTCTGTGGACATATGTTGATGCCCTGTCAGAATTCCACCCTCAGGCAACTGTCTGTGTGGATATTGCACATTCTCCCCTGTCTCCATGGGTTTCCTTCGGGTGCTCAGGTTTCTTCCCACAGTCCAAAGATATGCAGGCTAGGTGGATTGGTCATACTAAATTGCCCATAGTGTTCAGGGATATGTAGATTAGGTGGGTTACAGGTGGATGGGTCTAGGTGGAATGCTCCGAGGGTCGTTGTGGACTTGTTGGACCGAAGGGCCTGTTTCCACACTGTAGGGATTCTATGATTCTATGATTCTATAATTAGACAGGCTGTTCCACAATTTCATGTACATGAATCTTTGCCTAGATTTTCTCTTGGTCAACTAGTCAAATATCTAGAAGATGTGTTCTGAGGAAGGGTCTCTGGACCCCGAAGCATTAACTCTGATTTCTCGCCACAGATGCTGCCAGACCTGCTGAGCTTTTCCAGCAATTTATGTTTTTAATCAAATGTCTAAGCTGCACTAAAAGCCCTTTTGTAAGCGCCAGTCATTATTGGTAATTTGCAATGGGTGTGATTGCACGTACCTGACGCCATGCAAGTACAAGGAAGTATGTCTTGGAGAAATGTATTGAAGAATTTTTTATATTTTGCAATACGTCTGAGGATGTGGGTTCAACTGGCTAGACTGGCTGTTATTACCCTACCCTTATTTGTCTTGAGAAGTTGTGATGGGCCTTCTCATACACTGCAGTAGAGCTTTATACAATTGTGTCAACGTTATCAGTCATCAAAACCTGATACACCCTTTTAAGGAAGTTTGGTGAGTCTAATTACTTTCCGTATGGCACCACACTGAATTGTTAATAGTCACAATATGTATTTCAAAAATGTATATTATAATGCCATGGCAATACTGTTGCACATGTTCCAATGAGACAGTGATCAATCTGGTATTTTTCTTGCAGACAATTCATCAGTTAGACCTCTTTGGTGATATGTCTACACCTCCTGACATTACATCACTTGGGGTAAGTGCCATTTTTAAATATTAATTGATGTTGCTTAAATTCTTACAGAAATCCTTATAGCTATACAGCTGTGCAGCAAACAATTAGTAAAAGATTAATGAGGCAAAAATTAGAGTATGAGAGAAAATTATCTAAAAATATAAAATCAGATAGGAAAAGTTTCTTTAGATATTTAAAAAAGGAAAGTGTGAAATTGTCCATTTGGCAGAAAGAATAAAAAAGAAGCATATTATCTAAACGGGCAAGCTTTTGCAGAGCTCTGACATGCAGAGAGATCTGAGTGTCCTAGCGATTAATCTGAAAAGCTTAGCATGCAGTTACAGCAAGTAATCAGGAAAGCTAATAAAATGCTGTGGTTTATGTCAAGGGGAATTGAATACAAGAATAGGGGGCTTATGTTTTAGTTATGCAGGGAATCAGTGAGACCGCATCTGGAACATTGTGTACAGTACTGGTCATACTTTAGGAAGGATGTTAACTTGTTGGAAGCAGTTCAGAGAAAGTTTACTAGAATAATATCTGACCTAAGTGGATTGCCTTCTAAGCAAAGGCTAGACTGGCTAGGCCTGTATCTTCTGGAGCTTAGAAGAGTCAGGGGTGAATGATTTGAGACATAGAAGATCCTGAGGCGACTTGACCAGGTGAATGTTCAGAGCATTTTTCCTCTTGTGAGAGAATCTAGAATTGGGGATCATAGTATAAAAATATGATAGCACCCACTTAAAACAAACATAAGGCAACATTTTTTTTTCCCTCAGGAATTGTGAGTCTTTGGAATGCCCTTCTTCAAAAGGCAGTATATCAGAATCTTTCAATATTGTTAAGGCAGAGGTAGATAGATTTTTGATTTCCAAGGAGAAGAAAAATAATCAGGGCTATGCAGATGTGTAGAGTTGAGGTTAAAATCAGCTCAGTCATGATCTTATTGAAAGGCAGAGCTGGCTTGAAGGACTGAGTGACCTACTCTTGGTCCTTCTTTGTATGTTCTATGATTGTTGACTGCATACAAATAAGGGCATTACTCAATCAATGCCTAAGGTTACATTTTTAAGTTTTTACATAAAATTTTACAATCATTAAAGTGTGCCAGATATTTTGAGCAGCTTTTCAGAGAATTTGTATGAGATTAAATGGTTTGGAATTGATGGTTGTTTGGGATGATATTTACAAAGGATGGATATAAATTTCATAATGAGTGCTGTTAAGTATTACTTTCATCCATTTGTTGCTGGGATTTTGTATTGCCAAAAGTTTGTTTATAACAGTCAAGACTCCAGGAAGCAGCATTCGTGTTCCTGAAATTTAGTTTGTAATTTTCAAATGAGTGCATAAATGGCAAACTTTTCCATTTAGTTAAGATGGTTTCATAGCAAAGCTGACAGGAAATGGAATTAAGAGAGAATGAATGGAATTTTATTTGCATGATTTAATTCTAGATAAATGGAAAACAATACAATATTTTGAACTTTTCTGAAACTAAATACTTCATTCTTAATGTTTTGTGTAATTGTTGAAACTTGAAGAACAGAGAAGTATTTTGTTAGTTGATTTAGGAGTTATGTTTAATAGTTGTTAAATCTGAACGTTAAATATCTCATCGAGGTGGCAGTATCATTAAATCTGCATCATTTGTATCTTGTTTCAGACACCAGCATCACCTGCAAATGCCCTTGGGCCAGACACGTTTGCCCCTGGAGTTATAAGTGCTCAACCAACAGGAAGACCTGACTTGTTTGGATCTGTTCCTTTCAACACGGCTGGTGTGCCCACAGGTAAGAATAAAACTTTGGTTAGTGTTATGATAGGGAAAAGTTAGTGAACAATTCCTGGATCAAGCAAAGTGTTAAATTAAATATGTTAAGTCCATTCCTTCTAGCAGTCATATATAATCAGCTGTATAATTAATTCTTCTCACCTTTGTTTATCTTCTGAGGAATGCCTTATTTAATATGTCATTGACATAGCACGTGTTGTAACAGTATTCTTCATTGTTCATTCTGACAGGATATGTCACAATGGGAGCAGTGCCACCTGCAGTCTGGGCGCAACAATCAAGTGCTCAAAATATCATCAATCCTTTGTTAGCTGGGGTCCAGTCAACAGCATGGGGCCAACCTACCTTATTTGCTGTTCAGCAGCAGTGGGCTCCTGTTGGAAGCCCATTCCAGCCTACTGTATTCATGTCAGCACAAACTCCTATGCCACTACAAACTGCCATGTTCAAAGCAGCCTTATCTGCTGGTCAACCAACAATTGCCAGTCATCAAGAAGAGAAGCCAAAACAGAAAATGGGGAAGGAAATGTTTAAAGAATTCCAGATGGTCAAACCCCCAGTAGTGCCATCTAGAAGAAACGAGCAGCCATCACTCTCGTGCACCTCAGAGGCCTTCACAAGCTATTTTAACAAAGTCGGGGTGGCACAGGAGATAGATGATGCTGATGACTTTGATATCTCTCAGTTAAATCTAACTCCAGCAACCTCCAATTCCACACCATCATCAACCAATTCACGTAAGTTTCTCAACAGTTATTATGTTTTCCTTTAATCATGTGTGATCATGAGAAAACTATTTTTCCTCTGATAATTTTCCTCCCTTGTGCTGAGATATGGTTCCACAAATGCCTTTCATTTTTCAATACCTTATTTTAATGGCCTCATCACAATATAAACCTAAACATTTGATAGTTAGTAGCCTATTGAACATGGGTTGAAATCACAGTTGAGTTTATCCTCTCTATGCTTGATATCCACACGTATGAATTTTCAGCATGGCTCACTGAGTGGAGATCAGGATGCTGGTTGTTTATTTTTTTCCTGTCCCAATGAGGCCAATATGTAAAACTCCCATCATACTTCAGGATTATGGAAGACTCTCTCTATGACTATATGTCATGCTAGGAGGTGCATTACCCATTGAGTCATTTGAACATTCAAAATTTCACTTTCCTTAATTTAATCACTTTTATCATGGAAGAGAAATTATCAAGAATATAATTTTCGGAAAGAAATGCAAGCAAAATCTTGTATCAATATTAGGGATGAACATATTAATTAAATACAATTCAGAAAGTAGGCACTGGTTCTGAAAATCCAACTAACTGTTTTTGGTGTTCTGTCTACTATTTGATTTAATGTTCTTTACAAACTCCATGGCTTTTTTAATGTTAGCTATACCAAAGAGGTATGGATCATTATTACATTACAGACACTAAGGATCCAAGATTGCAAGCCTCATAGAGCAGCATTATTCTTCTTTTCAGTCTTTTTGTTTTCCAAAAGCTAGTGAAAGAAATCAGTGAGTGGTGTTTTAGTGTAGTTGAAGCAGAATCTTTAATATCTGTTTCTCCCAGAACAATATAAGCAAGCAAAATGTAATAATTAAATTAATTTTTAATGATGGATTTACTGATGGGATATATTTAATGTTCCTCATTAATTTGTTCTTCCTGAAAATATGTTTGCTATTTGAAATCACAGTTATGTCATGTGTGTGTTCTTTTTAAACAAAAATCTACACAAAGAATCAATGCCCATAATGTGGCACATCGCCAAGATTAAGAGGTGTAGGGATTAACCAGTCCTAAATGAATTAGCAATGTTCGGAGAAATGAGTTTGCAAAGTTCATATAAGGAAGGGAAAATGAATAAGATATATATATATTAAATCATGGTAAAAAATAAGTCAATAAATCTTAATAGAAAACAGTGATTCTCTGGAATAGGTTGCTATTTTATGTACTGGATGCCAATTCATTGAATTTCTTCAGACGAGAGCTGAGCCAGTTTTTGGTTGTGGTAGACATCACTCCTTTCAAATGATTGGTACTGCAGTGAATATAGTGAACAAGAGATATCCTAGATTAGCTTTGATCATCAAGATATATTGATGAAGAATCTTCTGTATTTTCCCCCTAAATTGACCTGGGTTTATTAATCCAGTTTAATACCTCTCCTAGGAGGTTGTATGGTTTTGGGCAGTGTAGTGGTATATATTGTGACATGCATGGCATCACAATTAAGTGGAGTAGGTTTGTGGGGCCAAAGATTCTTTACATGTTTGTAACATAGTAAGAGGAAGTGCACATAAAACAAAATATTTGGATTTGTAATTCACAATACTAAAGCAAAATACCTGTTAATTAAAAACATGCAGTACAAACAAGAACACAAATAAATAAGTGGTTCTCAAATTGAGAGTTTTTAAGCATCACAAAGTCCAAGTAAAGATGTAAAAAAATAAAATGTTGCAAGTTCAACAGCACACACTCAGCAAAGTTGGACTCGACTTAAGCATGTATACGATACATTATTTGTTGAAAAGTGGACTTCATAACAATTTTAGAAGATTTTGTTCATTTATTTTAAAACTATTAAATAGCTTGCTTTGGGAATCAGTTTTATTTGTTATTACTTACTGTTTTCTTGTCTTCCATGAAGCTCCAACTTCATCTCCACATCAGCACACACCTGAGGCATCTCGTCAGCACACACCTGAGGCATCTCCTCCTCAGAGCACGCCAGCTGCTTCTCCCCTTCAGACTTCTCCCACTACATCTTGTCACCAGAATATTCCATCCAGGTCACCAACTGAGAATCCCAGTGAGCCTACTCCCGCTGGCCAATTGGGGGATGAGTTGGACAACCAAACCACCAGCAAGTTGCAAGTAAATGTAAGTATTCAAGCAACAAGCAGTAGAGGTAGTGCCATCTCCTGCACCATTTTTGTTTCTTTTGTTTTTTGGCTGGATTTAGAACATCAAAAGCTAAAGCAGTTAGTACTTCGGAAGAGAAAGCTTACTTACTAGGCGTCTAATGTCAATTATAAGAGCTTCTAAGTATCACAATTCCAAGTGCGTAAAACTCCAATAGAATTTAATTCCATGTTAAGATGTTAATCAAATAATCCAGTCGCAAACAAGAGTCTTAAACAGAATCAATTGTATGAGGGGAGAACTACTTAAGGTAGGTTAGGAAATTAACTAAAAGATATAGCCATATAGCCATGAAAACAAACAATTTTAAAAAAGGATGTTTGGAAATGAACATATTTGTTACAACTAAGCTCCATTATGAAGCACACAATACGAGTCAGACTAGTATGTATAATTCACACATTTTACTGGATTTTCCTTCTGAGAATTGGGACAAATTTATAGTAATGAATCTTATATGTTTAACAAGAATACATTTCATTTTTTAAAAAATCTCAACTAGAAAGATTCAACCATGTCTTTTTATGTAAGTTACAGATAATATTACAAAGCAAGCTTCTGAGTTTAAGAAACCAGCAAAGGGGAACCAAAATTTGTTAGAAAAAGAGAAAAAATAAACAATGAGAATAACTAGCCAGGAATATAAAAAAAGAGACTTTTAAGAGCTTTTCCATACATATGGAAAGCTAAAGTAACAGTCAGAACCTTATAAAAACTGAAAGAACTGCGGATGCTGTAAATCAGAAACAAAATCAGAAATTGCTGAAAAAGCTCAACAGGTCTGCCAGCATCAGTGGAGAGACATCAGTGCTAATGTTTCGGGTTGAGTGATCCTTCCTCAGAACCTTAGATGCCGGTACATGATAAATCATCATGATAAATGAGGAAATAGAAGAGACATTGATTAAAAATTTTATGCTGACTTCACAGCAGAAGATACAAATTATGCACTGGAAGTTGAGGGTAACCACGTGGTTAATACAAGTGAGAAACTTGAGGCAATTGATATCAGCAGAGAAAAAGTATTGGAGAGCATATGAACAAGGAACAACAATAGGCCATTAAGTCCTTCAAACTTGCTCATGGCTGATTTGATTTTAATCTCAACTTTACATTCTTGCATATCCCTGATAATGTTTCATCCCCTTGGTAATCAAGAATCTACCTTCCTCTGCCTTAAAAATATTTAAAGATTCTGCATCTACTGCCTTTTGAGGAGGAGAATTCCAAAGATTCATAACCCTCTGAGAGAGAAAAAAAGTTTCCTCTTCTCTGTCTTAAATGTTCGACCCCTTATTTTTAGATGTTGTGGATTCCCACAAAAGGAGACGTCCTTTCAACATTCACCTGGTCAAGTCCCCTCAGGTTCTTACGTGTTGCAATTAAGTCACCTCTGACTCTTCAAAACACCAGAGGATACAGAGAAGACCAGTCCAGCCTTTCCTCGTAAGGCAAATCACACATCCTAGGGTTAAGTATAGCAGTTCTCTGAACTGCTTCCAATGAATTAACATCCTTCTGTAGAAACACAGTACATAGTACTCCAGATGTGGTCTCACCAATTCCCTGTATAACTGACACATAACCTCTCTACTCTTGCAATCAATTCTCCTTGCAATTAAAAAATTTTATTAGCTTTTGTGATTACTTGCTGTAATTGTACACTGTCCTTCTGTAATTCATGCGCTAGGAATCACTGAGATCTCTCTGCATGTCAGAGCTCTGCAACCTGTCGCCGTTTCAATTATATGATTCTGTTTCATTCTTTTTGTCCAAATGGACAATTTTACACTTTCCCACATGACACTCCATTTGCCAGATCTTTGCCCAATCACTAAACCTACATTTATTAGCTGCATGGTGGCTCAGTGGTTAGCACTGAAGCCTCACAGTACCAGGGACCCAGGTTCGATTCCACCTTTGGGTAACTGTCTTTATGGAGTTTGTACATTCTCCCCGTGTCTGTATGGGTTTCTGCCAGGTGTTCTGGTTTCTTCCCACCGTCTAAAGATGTGCAGGTTAGGTGGATTGGCCATGCTAAATTGTCTGTAGTGTCCAGGAATGTGCAAGCTAGGTGGGTTAGCTATGGGGAACATACCTTCAGCCCCTTCATTCAAATCATTTACATAAATTATAAAGAGTTGAAGCCCCCGCACCAACACCTGTTTACATACCATTCATCACATCCTGCCAGCTTGTAAAAGACCCACTTATTCTTACCCTTTGCTTCCTGTTAGCCAGCCAATCTTCTATTCATGCTAAAACTTACCTCTTACGCCATGAGCTTTTATTTTTCACAATCACCTTTGATATAGCAGCTTATCAAATGCCTTCTGTAAATCTAAGTACAATACATGCATTGGTTCCCTTTACCCATAACACAAGTTACTACTTCAAAGAACTCCAATAAATTAGTTAAACATGATTTCCCTTTGATAAGGGAAACTGCCAAGTGTCTTCATTAATAATAGCTTCTAACATTTTTCCTATGATAGATATTAAGCTAACTGGCCTGTATTTTCCTGCTTTCAACCTTGTTGCGTTTTGAATAAAACATTTACATTAGCTATTTTTCAATCTACAAGTACCTTCTACAAATCGAATGAGTTTTGGAAGATTAAAACCAATGCATTAATTACCTCACTAGCTACTTCTTTAAGACCCTGGAATGAAATCTATAAGGACCTGGGATTTGTCAACTCATAGTTTCAATAATTTACTCAGTACTACTTCCCTGCTAATTATAATTTTCTTCAGTTACTGAATTTTCTGTAAGAGAGCATTTATTTTGTTAACTCTCTTTTCTAAATATCTAAAGAAATGTTTCCCAGTTTTTATACTTTTGGCTAACTTTCTCTCCTAATGTAATTTTTCCCTTCTTTTCATAATTCTTTGTCTTTTTATATATACTGTTCACTCTTCTTACCTGCAACCTATCTTTACAGAATTATGTCTGTTCAGTACTATCTTTAGTTAACCAAGGATGGTGGGTCGGTCCCTTAGAATTTTTCTTATTTGTTGGAATCTTGGAATAAAGCTCAAGAAACACAAAAGCTAATGAATCCCTAGAACATGATGATCTGCATTCCAGGATTATAAAAGCAGTAGCTGCAGAGATAGTGGAGGAATGCTTACAGCAGATTGAAACTTAGCAAAGAAAAGAGAGAGGGAGAAATTGAGGTCTACAGGCCAGTTAGTTTGATGGTAGTCATCAGGAAAATGTCACAATTTATTATTAAAGATGCTTTAATAATGCACTGAGAAAATTATAGTATGATTGGACTCAGTCAACATGGTTTTATGTAAACAAAAGTGTACTTGACAATTTTATTAGTTTTTTTTTAAGTATGTAATTAGTAACATAGCTAAAGAAGAGCCAGCTGGTATAGTATACTTGGATTTGCAAAAAAAAGTACTTGATAAATTGTCACACAAAACATCAAAATGTAAGAACTTCTGGAGTTTGAAATATACGTCATTATGTATGAATGATTATGAATGATTAGTAACCAGGGAACATAGAGTTAGGATAAATGGGGCATCATCAAGTTGACAAACAGTATCTAAAAATGTTTTCTAAGCAGCAGTTGCTGGGACTTCAACTGTTTACACTTTATAGTAATGATGTTGATAAAATTTCTTGGTGATACAAAGATGGGTGGGAATGTAAGCTGTGATGAAGACACCAAAATGATCCACAGACCTAGACACATTAACCAACTGAACCTCAAAATAGCAGAAAGAGTGTATTATGCGAGGAAGGGTGAAGGTGTTTGCTTTGGTTATAATAATAAAAATGCAGATTAATTTTAAAGCTCATGAAACTTTTAAATATTAATGTTTCATGTGACTTGGATATAAACAAAGAACGCAGGAAGTAGACATGCAGGTACAGAAAACAGTTAGGGAGATTGAAGGCTTGTTACCTTTATTGCAAGGGCATAAGGAAATCTTGCTACAGTTGTACAGGGTTAAGGAGACACCACACCTGAAGTACTATGCGGTTTTTGTCTCCATGATTAAGGAAGGATACATTTGCATGAGAGATGCTTAAATTAAGATTCTCCAAATTGTTTCCTGGAATGACAGGGCTTTCGTGTGATAAAAGGCTAAGTAAATTTTGCCATATTATGGAGTATAGAAGACTGAGAGGTGATCTCAATGAAATTTATAGTATAGAAACTGAGGTTTTGTTTCCCTTGGCTGGGGAGTCTGCAACATGCAGGCACAGCCTGAGGTAAAGGGTTCATCATTTAGGAGTAGGGCGTTGAGGAGAAATTTCTTCACGTAAAGAGTTCTGAATCTTTAGAATTCTTCCATTTTGGATGCTTTATCTTGGTCTATGTTTAAGGTTGACATTAACAGATTATTTAGGCTGTTAGAGCATCAAGGGATATAGAGAGCAGGTAACAAAGTCGAGTTGAAGGAGAAAATTGGTCTTGATCATGTTAAATGGTGAAACAGGTTCACAGGGTCACAAGTCCATTCCTGCTACAATTTCCTATGTTCTTATATTTACGCTAAGAATAGCATTGTGTAACACCAAAAATCAATTGTTCTTTCTATACAAAATTCAATGCCAAAGTATTAGTGGTTTTACATGTATGCTCATGATCCCCAAACAAGACATTAACAGGGAGTTTAGAAAAATTAAGAGGGTTAAAAAAATGCCAAGAATATAAAATACATTTTTATAAACATTTTAGTAGCAAGAGGATAGTAAATGTGGCAAAATCATGAATAGTTGAAGGACTTACGTTGTAATGAACAGTAAAGAAATGAAATTTGTGCTTGCTCTCACTTTTCACTGAGGGGACCACTGTTCAGTCTGTGTAGCCATAGATTTGACTCAAACATTGTTAATGAGAATTACTCCTCAAATAGAAATATCACTGAACATGCTCCTCAAATTTAGAATAGGAAAATCAATCAAACATGATGCCTTACATTCAAAGATCTTGAAGAAAGAAATTGGAGAATCTCTGATTTGATTTACCTGTTGAAAATAAAATTGTATTGTGAGTTCAAGGGGAAATAATATCTGAGAGAAGATGGTGACTCTTAGGCTCACAGAGTGGAGATTGTATTGACCTTCTTCCAACATTGCTGACCATTTCACCAGATGGAGCCTGCATTGACCTGTGTGACTACCTCAGACTGCTATACTCAATGCCTCATTGGTCAAGGCATTGAGTGTAGGAGTTGGGACGTTATGATTCAGTTGTATAAGCCACACTTGGAGTATTGTGTACAGTTTTGGTCACCCTGTTATAGGAACATCATAGTTAAACTGGAAAGTGTGCAAAGAAGATTTACGAGGATGTTGCCAGGACTAGTAGGCCTGAGTTATAGGGAGAGGTTGGCCAGAATATGACTTTATTCCTTGGAACGTAGGAGAATGAGGGGTGACCTTATTGAGGTGTATAAAATCATGAGGGGCAAAGATAGGATGAATGCGTAAAGTCTTTTTCCCAGGGATGGGGAATTGAAAACTAGAGGGCATAGGTTTTAGGAGAGAGGGGGAAGATTTAAGAAGGACCTGAGGAGCAACCTCAGACAAGGAGAGGATTGTGACCTCACAGAGAGTGGTGCGTATATGGAGTGGGCAGCCAGAGAAAGTGGTTGAGGCAGGTGCAATAGCAACATTTAAAAAACATTTGGATGGATACATGAATGGGAAGGGTTTACAGGGATATGAACCAAATGTGGGCAATTGGAACTAGCTGAGTGGGCCCCATGGTCAGCATGGACCAGTTTGGGCCAAAGGGCCTGTTTCCATGGTGTGATGTCTTGGCATCCACTGCTGGTCCTGTGAGAAGCATAACTCCAGCATTGGCACCAAGTATCCAGTGGGAATTCTAGGACCCCGCCCACAAAGTGGGGTAGCTAGTTCCTGTCTGTCTGCCATTTATGGGGCAAATGTCAGGAACCGTGCAGGGTAGCTGCTGACACTGTTTTTTTTTCCAGGTGCATAACAGGCTTTTAAAGATGTTGCATGTAAGAGATGCCAGTTAATTTCAGTATTTTTTCATATGACTAGTTGTTCCAGGAACGGTGCATGGTAAAACGAGTGGAAATTCAACGTGAGAGATACCAAAGGATATTATAGGTAATTAATGAGGTGAGATGAGGATAAGGAAATGTACTAAGCCTCGTGGCGAGAAGGCTTCCAAAAAAGCTCGAGGCACTCGGACTTAGCCAAAGTAAAAGTAAGATTCAGCTAAGCATTTGGAGAGACATGATATAATCATGACGTCACAACACATTTTTTTTTAAGAATAAATTCTTCTTGACCAGCATTAGAAAATTATTTGAAGGAATAACAGTGAGATTTGATGTAGATAAAAGAATTTGAAATTATACCTTCAGGACATCCCAAATTGATTTTTAATGAATGAAGTGCTATGGAAGTGTAGTTATTTATGTAACATTGGCAATCGTGGCAGCCTATTTGTGCAGGACAAATACATGGAAATCCATGACCAAATCATCTGTTCTGGGTATTTGAAAGAATTATTATTAAAGTACAGGAAACTGAAAAGGGTGAGTCAATTTAGAGTATTCCAGGTGTCTGTGGACAGGATATCCTTCCGACTTTGGAATCATAGGCAGAAAAGTGATATTAGAGCAGGAACAAGAAATTTGTGTTCTGACATTTTGCGAGCAAATAACAGTGCATCATCTGTTGCTTGTAATACTAATATCTACTGTTTAAAAGTATCAAATATTATCTTGAAATCTGAATTATATATTATTCATTTAATAAATTGATTATTCTTTTCTTTTTTTCCACAGCTTGTCAGTTCTGAGACATCTGCAAACAACGATGTAGTTGGTGAATGTCTTGATGATGATTCTTTAACCCCACAGGTCGGTAGCTAGATAGCAGATTTTGGGGTAGGTATCTCTTTTCTTTTTCCTAGGTGTGCACGCATCCCACTGCTGCTGATCACTGCGACCCATGGATTGTGGTTTGTTTTAGTTACATAATCATCATTTTTGTGTGTTTTTTTTTGTTTAAACATGGCTTCTTTTTCATCCGATTTCATAACTGCATGAAACTGTGCCAATGAAACATGAAAAAACATTTTTGTGTTGTAATGAGTTTCATACTGTACTCTGAGATGTTACGTGCTGTAAGTCTGAGATTGTAATGTGCAAATTAATAAGTCTTTGCCAAGTATAAGAATCCCAGCCTTGCAGCTCACGATTGCTGCAACAGATTGTGTCATTGGTGAATACGTTTCTAAAAAAAAGGAAACAACATCAGAAATGGATATTTTCATACTACAAATTACATCAAATTCAAAAATTGAATCCGATACTCTACAACTTCAGTTAAATTCAGCATGAACTTGGGTAAAAACTGTGAAAACTGAAGCAGAGATACCACCCACCAGGACAAATAGGGGCATCTTGGGAATATAGATAGTGAGATAGTTAATAGGGGAAAGCTGATTTAAAGCATGACTGCAAAAATTGAAGACATATATACATAAATGCATTCAACATTTAATTCTATGATTTTTTTAAACAAAAAAAGACAAGATAGTTTTCCACTTCACTACCTGAGCAATAATCTAATTGGCCATATTTTATGACAATCACATATTTTTCATTAAATTTATGTGAATTAACTGAAAACAAATGGTTCTATTAAGATTGTGAGCTTACTCACCAGGTTACCATCCAGATTGTGAAGTTGAATATTAACCATTGTTTTTCCAGGCATTTATGAGTGTTTGGGAATAGTCCCACAGTATATGAGCGAGACAAGACACAATACATGTGAAGTGCAATGCAAGATTGTATTCAGTTTAATTCTGTATCTGTCTGCCTACAGGCAGAAGAGCCTCTCTATGCCCAGATAAAGAAGATCAAGAAATAACCAGCTGGAGCCATGAGTGTGTTGCAGGAAAACCTTGAACCATTCTCCATTGGATCAGCGTGCAAAACAAAATCAATCGGCCTGACCTGCACCTCCCTCAAAGCCATTCTGTTTTATCAGAGAAGCAAAATGATGAAGGATTACTCTGACAGATGTTGTTTTAAGGAATTAACGACTGATTGCACCAAGGTGAAAAGAACTGTACTCTGTATCTGGAGGATCGATTGATCAGTTTGTTGAGGATGTGGAACTAATCAACAAGGCAGTCACATTCTGCTAGAAATAATTTCTTACAAAAGAAACAGAGTATTTGAATCTTCTAGAAATTATACTATTTGTCATCTAAGGTCCAAGAGCTCGCTGCTGAATCACTATGCAGATGCCAACCTCTCTTCTATGTTCTTTTACGGAAAGTACATCAAACATTCCCCCTCAGATCAGAGAAAAAAAATACCTTTTTCAGGAAGCAACAAAATCAAACATAATTTATAACAGGACATTAATACCATGAATTTGCTACTATGTACGAATTCTGACATTTTCAAATCAGACTAAACTCTTATCACTTTTTGTACAATGTGAAAAGAAAAATCAAAACACAAATTTTATTTTATAAAAAAAACTGAGGTTCTTGCTGTTCAACTGAACACTTTGAATGTGTTTTAGGTAAAGTGGCTTTAAGAAGTTTGATTGAGGATTTGTCATCTTTTCCTTTTTTGTAAATATCGGTGGTCAAAACAATCTTTTAATTTAGTTTGTTTTCTCTGCATTTACAGAATCTAAATTTTTGAACGAGATTGAAATTAAAGGGATATGACTGACTATGTTTCTGCATATTTTAACTTACCTCAGCTCACACTTTAGATAACGTTACACATTCTTTTTAACCTTATCAAACAATACATTATAGAATGGATTTTTTTAAAAAACAATTCACAATAATTTCTGTAAGTTACCATGTAATACTGTTTCAAATATACATATAGAAAACACATTATTATGCAATTTATTTTGTTCAATATATGCAATGTGCTACTGTTCAAGTTTTCCATATTCAATCTATTTTATATAATGCTTTCTCCTTTTCTTTCCTGCATGTTACAACTTGTCCCACATGAAGGTCCTCAATTATTTATGATTTCAGATTGGATACCCTGAAACGGTTAAACTGCCAGGTGAGGAGGGATGAACTGGCAACACTTTTTAATTTAGTCCTCTCTGTTTGTTACAACCACATTATTATGGAAACCTTTTCCCAATCCAATTGTGTTTACATTTTCAAAAGGAGCCAAATTCACTAGGTTTGATTGAGTTAAAGAAAGGGTGAGTTTATTAGCTTCAAAACGTGACAAAAATGATAAAATACGATGTGCACACACAAATTAGAAATGTGACTTGAGTAAAAAGATAACACAAAAAAGGTAAAGAAGTCAATATCTGGGTTCCATGAAAAGTAGATGATGAGTATTACGTACAGTTCTGGTCACCCTGCTATAGGAACAATATTATCAAACTGAAAAGGGTGCAAAAAACATTATTGAGGATGTTACTGAGACTGGAGGGTTTGAGTTAAAAGGAGAAGCTGGATAGGCTGGGACTTTTTTCCCTGCAGTGTAGGAGGTTGAGGGGTGACCTTAGAGATGTTTATAAAATCATGAGGGGCATGGATAGGATGAATAGCCATGATCTTTTCCCCAGTATAGGGGAGTCCAAAGCTAGAGGGCATAGTTTTAAGGTGAAAGGGATTTTAAGATTTAAAAGGGACCTGGAGGACACCCTTTTCAGGCAGAGACTGGTTCATATCTGGAATGAACCGCCAGAGAGCTGGCAGAGGCGGATTCAATTACAACATTTAAAAGACGTTTGGACAGGTACATGAATAGGAAAGGTTTGGAGGGATAGGGGCCAAATGCAGGCAAATGGGACGAGTTTACTTTGTGAAACCTGGTCACGTAGATGAGTTGGACCGAAGGGTCTGTTTCTGTGTTGTATGACTCTATGACTGCTGCCGCTATCAAGTTAAATGTTACTGATCACACTACATTGGTAAGAAAGAGTTGATTTCAAGATCCTTGGCTTGGCACATTAGCTAAAATGATTGTTCCTGTTTCCTTTCTTGACAGTGACTGTTCTGACTGGTCTGGCTTCCTACATTCAAATGAGGGAGTCCTTGCTTACTTGCAAACAGAGGTGTCTAAAACGTACCTCAAGCTATGACATTTATAGCGCAGTAGTCCATACCAGCACTCATAGACCAATACACAGAGACCAGGGGGTGAAGGTGGATTTTAACACCTTTTCTTTGTATATTCCGAGAAGGATAAAGCACAAACATGTCTACAGTTTGAGAAATAATCCATGGTAGATAGCTACCTGTTGAAAGGGATGGTCAATTCTTCATTTTCTGTGGCCACAAGAGATCATACCAGTTTGTTTTGATTTACATCTCTCCTTGTGAAGGGTTGTTGTTTGAATTTTCCTTGACAGTGTTTCAGGTTTGACATTCCATGGTTCCTGTCAAGCTTTTGACAGGCAGTCACTGAATTTATATCCACAGTCATCTTCCAGCTATATGTCCTTTTTAAAAAAAAACATGTTGTAAATAAAAATTCAATCTGTTCATAAGTAAATTTGCGTTATGATCGGCTATTATGGTATCGCAGTATTAACTCATTTTGTGGTACAATCCCATTGACGCTGACTATTCTCTGATGTATTGCCCACGTAATTGTTTGTCCCTTGTCAGATAAAGCTGACAACAATTTCCAACAATCTTCAGCTAGAAGTGTTATGTGGATGATCTTGGCCTTCTCTGAAGATCCCCAGAATCACAGATACCAGTCTTTAACCAATTTAACTTACTCCACATGATAACAAGAAACAGCTGAAGGCACCGAATGCTGCAGTGGCTATGGCCTCCATAACATTCCAGAAATAGCCCTAAATATTTGTGCTCCAGAACTTATGCCATGTGCACAAAAAGTAGGCTAAATCCAATACAGACAATTAACAGCCCATTAGTCCACTCATGAACATCTTTAAAGTGATGGAAATGATCATCAAAAGTGTGATCAAACAGCACCTGCTTAGCAATAACCTGTTCATTGATGCTCAGTTTGTGTTCTGCCAGGGCTACTCAGCTCCTGAACTCACTATAGACTTATTCCAAACTTGGACAAAAGAGATGAACAGAGGTGAGGTGAGAGATATTACCTTACCATCAAGACCACATTTGACCAAGAGTTGCATCAAGGAGCCCTAGTAAAATTATAGTCAATCAGGGCAAAACTCTCTGCTGGTTGGATTCATGCCCAGCAGAAGGGAAGATAGTTCTGGTTGTTGGAGGACAATCATCTTAATTCCAGGAGATCATTACAGGAGTTCATAAGGTTTGTGTCAAAAGTGGAGATTATTGCTGATGATTGCACAATGTTGAGCAGTATTCACAACTCCTCAGATACTGAAACAATCTGTGTCCAAAGGCAGCAAGACCTTTGACAACATCCAAGTTTCAGCTGACAAATAAATTTGTGCCATACAACTACTGACAATGTCCCTCTCTAACAAGGGGGAATCTAACTAGCCCCTTGACATTCAATGGTGTCACCTACCCTGAATGGCCCATTATCAACATCCCAGTGGTTACTATTGAACAGAAACTGAACTAGATTAACCATGTAAATACTATGGCTACAAGAAAAGGTCAGAAGTTAATAATCCTGCAATGAGTAACTCATTGACTAACTCCCAAAGATTGTCTTTGTAGACCATTTACAAGCAATAAGTCAGGCTGGTGATGGAATACTCCCCTCCTCCCTAGATGAGTGCAACTCCGACAACACTCAAGAAGCTTGACAACATCCAGAACAAAACAGCTCACTTTGATTGTCACCACACCCACACATGTTCATTCACTTCACCACCAAACTCAGTAGCAGCAGTGCGGATCATCTACAAGATTGATTTCATAAATTTGCCAAGGCTGCATAACACCTTACAACCCATGACCACTACCATCTAGACAGACAAGGGCAGCTGGTATATTGGAACACCACCTGCAAGTTTCCCTCCAAGCCACTCATCATCTTAACTTGGAAATATATCCAAGTTCCTTCAATGCCAATGAGTCAAAATCCAGGAACTCGCTCACAAATGGCATTTTGGGTCTTCCTACACCAAATGGACTGCAGCAGTTCAAGAAGGATGCTCACTAGTGCCTTCTCAAAGGCAATCAAGAATAGGCAATAAATGCTGGCTCATCCAATGATGCCCACATCTCATGATCATATTATAAAAAGTGAAGCATTGCATCAAGGAGCCCTAGTAAAATTATAGTCAATCAGGGCAAAACTCTCTGCTGGTTGGATTCATGCCCAGCAGAAGGGAAGATAGTTCTGGTTGACAACATCCAGAACAAAACAGCTCACTTTGATTGTCACCACACCCAAAAAAAAAAAAATTCATGTACATTCTATCAGCAGTCATTGGATGTCAGTTATGAACAAGAACCTTGACTCATTCGCTTGTCCTTAATAGCACGGAGTCTTGCTCAGAATTCTTAGAAATTAATTTCTATTTACTTTAGGAGATCCAATTCGTTTCACCAGAAAAGTTCTGCTAATATTGGAAATATCTGGAGTGCAATGCATAAGATAACATGGTGGCACATTATGTAATCTTACCAAGGTCATATATCTTTGCAATGTTTTTAAGCACTTTGCTACCTTCTGTTCATGTAGCCTTAAGAGCATTCACATGATGTAGGACATAAAAATCCATCTGTTTGTAATTTTCCACAACTTCATCTATCTACTTGCTCACCAAATACCTTTGTCCTCCTGAATTTATCTTGGCCCTACCGTATTACAACATTCAATTATCTTTCCTGGTAATTTATTCCATAAATTTACAACCAGTTGTGTTAATTGTTTCCAGCTGACATCCCAATTATCATTCTCTGACATTTGGTATTTGGGACTTTCACAGAATGAACAATTA